CTCTGATTGCATTTCATTGCCTAATGTCTTTAAAGTGATTAACGAATGACTTAAACCCGATAGAGGACTCGATAAATGAACTAATCTTTTCCTCCACCTGCACAAATGTGCGCATGCGCGAGTGAACAAATCACTCCCATAGAGGACTCGTCGTTCTCGAGTCATACAAAAGATTCGTTCAAAATGAACGAATCGTTCAAGAACGACCCATCACTAGGCGGTGCACACACAGAGAGAAGCACGTAAAATGAAAAAAATGTGAAAACTCGCTAGAGAAATGAAAACGTTTCACCTAAAAACAAACAAAACCTCTGAATTCCCTAACAAAAATGTGTTAATACTATGGTCCCAAGTTAGCCATCTTTTATCAGTGATTAACAGTTAATTATAAAGATGTCATTTTAGTGTTAACATGAAACATTTTAAACTTAAACGGCACAGAAAAGCAGTTTCCGTTTTCTTCCCAAGTAATGTCTTAAGGAGCGGCACAAGCTTAACTGGCGTTAGGCAAACGACTGTGCCGACCTCACGGTCCTCCGCCCTCTCGAAGGTGCGGGCGTGGGCGGGAAGGATGTCGCGCAGGGTCTCCATGCCTCCCTGAGCGATTGACTCTGCCTAATTCCGCCATTCATGTCATAAATACACGGAAAGATTTAAGAGTTTGGACTTAGCTGAAACTATAGGCCACATTAATTACTGACTGCATTTGAAACTTAAGCATATGCAATAATTCTCGTCGCTAAAAACAAACCGTCAGGTTGGGAATATAGTAAAATTCATTGCATGCATAGAATTAGTGTTAATAAGTGTGGTTACTCACCTACAGGAACAAGTTAATGTTTAGTTCTTCATAGAGTCGAAAATATCTGTGAAGTCCGACATGGCACCAAGACAAAATGGAGATGAAAAGTGAAACGAATGGTCAAAACTCTGGTAAACATGTAGACATAACATTTTAGCGAATATTATTGACATAACATATATTTTTATGTAGATCAGTAGTTATTCACAATTCTTAGTATATATGACAGAAAAAGTACAGTGTGCTGAACAAATTGAGATTTTATTTTTTACAGTGTAGGATTGCAGTCATGAAAGTCACACAGGATAGCAGTCATGAAAGTCACAAGATAGCAGTCATGAAACAGGATAGCAGTCATAAAAGTCACTTGGAACAACGCTTGACAAGGCAGGTAAACTGGCAATACTTTGCAAGGAAGCATGGCCTGAGCTCTCACTGAAATACAGCACAAACAGGAAGTGAGTGCAGAGGGAGCGGAGCTGAGTCAGTAGTAGGGTGAGGGCTCCCTCTGCTGGCGTGGCATTACAGAACCTCTGGTCGGTCAGGTCTGGCTCGATTAAACTCCTTTGAGAGAAGGATCCAGAATGTCCTTGGCAGATACCCATGATCTTTCCTCTCATCCTTATCCTTCCCAGTCCACCAGAAATTGGAGCTGACCCCCTCTTCGTCTCGTGTCCAGCAACACATTTACCCTTTAGGGCCTATTTTTTGGTTGAGATGTTCGACTTGGCCATTAGCTTGCAGGTGATACCCAGACGTGAGGCTCACATTGATTACCAGCTGCTGGCCCTCCATACTTGCGAGATAAATCCCGATCCCGATCCTGAACCCGAGGTGTGCCCCGATCACTCACAATGTCCTCAGAAAGAGTTTTGTAGTTGGTGGACAGTTTGTCATATACCTGGATGACCTGCACAGATGGATCTATGGACACATTGGATAACTCTCTGGCATAAAATTGTTGGTACGTAGCTCTTGTTGGATGGACATTGTGGGGGTGGAGCTTCGTTTTGTTGCTCATGTTGGATTTCCTCCATGATGTCCCATAAGACAGGAGCAATGACCACTGTAGGGGGAAGTAGGCCAATGGATGTATGGCTCCCTCTAGCCAATGTCTCCATTCAGCAATTGCCTCCTTCATAGACAGTAATTCCTTGTTACCCGTTACAACGTTAACTTTCTGGAGTAGAATGCACATGGGTGCAGTTTACCTTGTTTTCCGTGCCTCTGTGACAAAACTGCTCCAATTTAAAATAAATCACATTCCGAAACAGAGCACAAAACTCCATTATTGTGCCAAGTAATTTCAAAAGTTGTTAAGTCTTCCACAAATTTATAAAACTTAAAATCAATCCACACTCTTGATTTGACCAACATAAAAAAACAACTTCTGAAACACTTTGGCAAGGCTTTTGCTTAATTCTATTTTTTCAACTTATATAAATTGCAATTTTTGCTTGTTCAAGCATAAAATTAAGCAATTGACAAACATTCCTTTTTTTTGGTATACTTTGAACCTAGAATTAATAGTTTTGTAGTAAAAGCCTCATTAAAGGGCATCTAGGTTACCCCTTTTTTTATTTAAGATGAGTCTTTTGCGTCTCCAGAATGTGTCTGTAAAGTTTTAGCTCAAAACACCCATTAGATATTTTATTATACCTAGCGTTTGTGAGAAATACTACAGTAAGAACTTTACTAATCAGTATTTGTTGCAGAGTTGCTACGATGAGTCACACACAATGTCGTTACAAAGTTCACGTACACACAGATATACACACACATACACAGCGCAGACACACACACACACACACACACACACACAAAGACATCACACGCGTTTAGCTATGCACTCTTTTTTAACACAAATGTGATAGGATACAGGTTAATATCCACTGCTGTATGAATATTTGTTATGTTAATGTACAAAATAAACCTTATTTAATGTCCTTAAACCGGGATTGAAGGGTCTTCTTTCATAATTGTTCTGACTGTGCTGATGAAGTAAAGCTGAAGTAAATCGCTGTAATTCCTTACACACATGCACTGTTTTAAAACATTTTAAACTAATAAAATTAACCCTTGATCACATTTAATGATGATTGATGATCCTAGCAAATTGAACAGACCTTTTATTCCCGGTTGCTTTGCGCACGTCCTGTCATGTTGATTTTTATTATACACGTGACTACCGGGACATGACAATATGCAGCTGTCAATCAATTCGGTGGGTGGGGGGACCGCACTCCTTCGTCAAGTTGAGATTGGTCTGAAAACAGCTTCAATTGGTCCACCATTTTTATCTTGTTAAATTGGGGAAAAAAGGACTGGGTGTGTTTATGTATATCAACCCACTATGACAATCTATACACTATACCTACACATGCCTGTCCAAACAGCTTGAAAAGTAGATTTTTTACCAGATGTGCCCTTTAATATATATAAAAAAAACTTTCCAACATCTTAAAAAAGATTTGCAGCCTAATTTACATAAAAAATACACATCAAGTTTAAAGGCCTGAAATATTATCTCCTTTTTAAAACAGAAAGGGCATCCAAAACTCACTTCTGGGTGAATTACAGAAATGAAAGATTTTACAGCTATGATATTATAAGGGATTCTCCACTTTAAATCCCCAGCCCTTTTAGATAATGGTGGCTCTAAGTTATTGTTGTCTTTCAGTACACTGTAAAAAATTCGTAAATTTACGGTTTATTTCCAGCAGCTGAGATGCTGGAAAAAAATACTTAAAATAACAGCCATTAAATTACAGAAATTTAACTTAAAATAACGGACATTAAATTACAGAAGTTATTTTCCTTAAATTTAAATTTCTGGTAAATTTTTGTAATTCAAAACCCGGAACCACACCTGTTCTACTGAATTCAAAGCAGCAACTTCACTGTTATAATTTTTTTTCCATAAGAATTTGCATCCCTTTCCTCTATACTGTCATTTTAATTTTGTTTCTTAGAACAATTCCGAATTAAATATCCAGTTTTCCCACATCCAAAACACTTGTATTCACAAAACAATGTATTCAAATCCATCAATGCGAAAGCTGGGCGATAAGTCCAATTCAGGGTCGTCATTAATAATCATTTATGCAAAATGCCTGAAATGATTTGTTTGAGCATCGGAGAGTAACAGTTTATCAAAATCTTTTTAATTGGAGAAACCAATTTTCTGTACATTGACAGTGCATTTACAAGGATTTCATCACTAAAATAGGGAGGTACATTCGATTAATAAACTCTCTTTGATGGTAATGAGAGAGGCAAAACAGACAAACTCCCCGCCAATCACTTTTCCCATTTCTACAATTTCATTCCCATTTTTATGATGTTTAGGAAAATTATCATGGCGTTATTCATTCTAGAAGCAGATTAAATTGACTTATGTCTTACCACCTCCCCAACAGCCATTCAACATTCTTCAACGCTTTGATTGCATGGTGCCAAACTTTGCAAACTTGGGGTCGTTATGCTTCCCAAAAAGAAAGGGGTAGCACCCGGCCCAACTACTCAGTTTTAAAGCTAGCCAAGAGCAAAGAACAGAGAAAAAAAGGAAGAAAACAACAAACACTCAACCACTCGTGTCAAGCACGGCAAGGGTTAACAGTGTATGTTGTATTTTTGTATGTTTATATTTATGTCTTTTTTGTTTGTAACATCATGATCCTTTGAGACATTTAATTTAACTGTATGTCCTAACATGTAGTAGAATGACAATAAAGCTCAAATTGAACTTCACCTGTCTCCTGTGTCTACAAGTACAAGAACTGTTTATTACAAGAAAAGCCAGATCTGAAGTATTTTAAATAGTTTGCCACTCACCATTGATCCGCTCTACCTTCATTTCATGGCCATATGAAACCTGTAAATAAAATACTGTTAAGTTTGACTTAGCCCTGTCCTTTCATTTTTAAAGAAAGTCAACCATGGATTAATTGTGCTTCTAAAATAATCATGATAGCATTTGTGATTTCTTGAAAAGGGGAAATTATTTAACCTAAACCAGTATTAATCACCCAGGCTGAGGTTTATATTCTAGACAAGAAAGAAATAGAAAAAATGAGACATATATTTTTAGTTGAGTAGGCAACCTGTATTTGGGATTTACTGTGTAATTTTAATGTTATTACAATTATTAATATTATTCAAGAATTGTTGTTAATCATTGTTAATGTATTATCTGCAGAGATGACTACCCAGAACCACCACGTGTCATATTAGGTCAAGGAAAGCTGATATCTGGCCTGGATGAAGGTTTGCATGGCATGTGTGTATTAGAGAGGAGAGAGATCACTGTGCCACCACATCTTGCACATGGTGCCAACGACGGTAAGTAATTCACTTTACCTATTTTTGTTTATTTAATTTTTTTTTTAAATATTTCTTTTCAGTGTGGAAAGGTGTAAGTGGAAAGTCCTTATCCTTATTTCAGTTTGATGATGTATTTCCAACTGAACCTAAATATTAAGAAGGGGTGGGGATTTATTTTTGCTATTTTCAATTTCATAAGGTATCTTATAGCATTGATAATGTAATTTAAACAAAGTATAGTCAGTTAAATAGACCTAAGCATTTGTTTAGTTGTTCAAGCATAAAACGAGATGAAAAGCATTTAAACACAAGAGCTTTGAAGAGCAGGAAAAGTTAGTGGCAGTCGTTGTCTTGGTAACATAAGTGTAATGTCAAAAGATTTTTTTAGATTTTTAATAAGTTGAATCACAAAACATAAATAAATAGTGATATTCTGCCTAGCTGCGTTACTGAGGTAAAGTTGGTTTTATATTTGTACATTCTTTCATTTTTGAACAATAAAAACCTATGACACAGTTGCTATATTTACCACGCTACTTTGAGTATGGCTTTGTTGCAAAGTTTGAGGTTTGGGGAAACCATCAGTATAATGTATAATTCTTGCACCCCACCGGCCCAGAACTATGCTTAGTCACTTACATTGGACAAAGTATAAGTCTTCACAGAGACGTCAGCAGAGACCAGCAATCATCGAATGCATGAAATATTGCATATTGTGACAAGTTTTGCTTGCTACACAACTGAAATGTGCTGGATATGTAACAGTTTTTTCAGAAAGTTTTTTTAGTTGATTTTTTATGCTATTATGCTAAATTTTGCGTTATACCAGGTCTCTTACTGCACCTTTAATAATGATTAATAAATAGATTATAACTCCTGACCAATAGGTGGGACTGTAACAAAGTTTATGTAATGTGATCGGTCTGAGGTGATAATGCACATTCATTGGGGGAAATAATTATTTAACACATTTTTCTCAGAAAACATATTTTTAAAGGTGCTGTTGACTTGGAATTTTCACGGGATGTTGCAAACAATCAAATAAATCCCTATATGCAAAGAAAAGAAAACTAATTAGTTTACAAAATAAGCTATGCAATAAAATCATAAAATGACCAGCCAATCACCTGAATAAAAAAAAACTGACTTGAAAACAAAAGTCAGATTTGATAGACGAGACCTACAGAACGTCCAAGTTTTTAAACTCTGTTGTTGTAAAAAAAAAAACACACCTGAGCAATGCATGTAACTTCCTTCTTCATAGGAGAGGCAACTTTAACCTGCCTTCACCAAATGTCATTCCTTTGTCATTCCATTGTTATTACACACAAGTCATTTTTCAGCTTTTTTTCCTGTTTGATTTTTTTTTTTTTTTTACCAAAACCTGGTTCAATTCCATGTCAACAGCTTCTTTAGAAATATTATTAATGATATGACATGTTCAATACTTATTTCCCCAACTGTATGTTTAATTATTGCAGAGATACAGCCTCGGGTGCAGTTTGGCATTGTGCCAGCATATTTTTTTAGTGCTGTAAACAACAGCATTTTACTTCGACACAGACTTTTTTGTCAGCATGGTCTGAAAATGTGAAGACATCAAAGGCCAGAAAGGTCAAGAGTTCAAAAATATAGGTTTTCAACCTAATTTAATATGGAGTACAGAAGTTTTGGTCAATTAATTGATAATTGGTATCAATGTTCTTGGCATGATCCATGAAAGTCCAGTCTCATGACAACCTGGCAAAATCATTTTAAAGATATTAGCATTTTTAAAATATCTTGATATCTTTTAAAGACAAGGGGCTCTATTTTAACCTTCTAGGTGCAAAGTCCAAAGTGCAGGACACAAAAGCATTAAGGGCATATCCGAATCCCCTTTTACTATTTTAAAGATGGGAAAACACGCTCTTTGCCATAGCGCATGGTCCAACAGGGTTGAGCTCATTCTCTTAATGAGGTGTGTTTTGAGAATAAACCAATCAAAGTCTCATTTCCCGTTCCTATTAAAAGTTAGTACAGCCTGTAGCAAATTTAGCATGTTCTTTGTGAGTAAAGCAGATGATAAAATGTGGGTACAAACATTTAATAAAAAATTATGGTTTTGTACAAACAAATATACATCTATTTACAAAGTCCATGTAATCAGAGAGAGAGAGAGAGAGAGAGAGAGAAAGAGAGAGGCCATTTAATAACTTTTTTAAAATCATGATCACATTTTTTAATAACAGCAACTTCACATGAAAAGATTGTTAGTAAATAAAACATCGTCAAATACACTACAAAGAGCCTTTTTTAACACACCATCTCTGTTTAAAAAAAAAAGTTATTTGTTGCTTTATAATTACGAAAATCAACTAGAATTCTTGACCTTATCATATTTGAATAAAGCGTTATTACATGAATATCAGAGTTCTCCTCAATTTTCCGTTTCCTGCTAATATAAACTGCCATCTTTGCTTCACCCAATAAAAATTAAGCAACTGACATTCATATGAACCTTTACAATAATATTTAAAACCACAAATGGAATTCTCCATTGAAAAAATTTCATCGAACCATTAAAATACCTCTTGTAAAAAAGGCTTTAACCTACTGCAATACATAAAGGCATGGAACACTGTTTCCCTTTGCAAACAAAAAGGACATTTTTGATTGACTTCTCGAATTATTACTGAAATGAAAGCATTGACAGCTATAATTCTATGCAAAACTCTCTATTGCAAATCTTCTTTTTTATTTAAAGGTGACTTACAATGTACTCCCCACTCAGGCTTTGAATTTTCATTTAAATGTAAGACATTACTCTATGGTGGGTCTTTTTTACCATCAAGTCATTTCTCACTAAAAGCTTTGACACAACATTTTTACACTTTTTTACAAGATACTTATTCATTTACACACACAAGGAATTTGTTTTGACTACAGAAGCTTCCAATGTACATAAAGTGACAAGTGACAACACAAAATAAATATGAAAAAAAAAGACGATAAACATTAAACAGAGATGCAGTTAGTCAAGAAATCTGGATGTTGAATGGTATGTACAAATTTGTTATAAATATACAGGTTATAAGGTGTTGTGTACAAATGCGAATGTAGAAAGTGTTGCATTGTGTATTGACATAAGGTGCTTTGTACAAGTGCGGATGAGAAAGTATTGCACATAATTATTGCACAGTTGAGGGATGTTTAACTGTTCATAAGGTAGATGGCCTGATGAAAGAAACTTTTCCTGTGTCTGGCTGTTTTTCTGCGTGGTGCTCTGAAGCGCCAACCAGACAGTACCAGTTCGAACAGGTAGGTGCGAGGCGTCCAGAGTGATTTTGCGAACCCTTTTACTCACTCTGGAAGAGTACAGTTCTTGAAGTGTAGGAAGGGTAGTGCCAGTGATTCGTTTAGCAGTCCGGACTATTCGCTGTAGTCTACGGAGGTCGGTTTTGGCAGCTGAGCCAAACCATACGGTGTTTGAAGTGCAGAGGATGGATTGGATGACAGCTGAGTGGAACTGTACGAGCAGCTCCTGTGGCAGGTTAAACTTCCTCAGCTGACGAAGGAAGTACAGTCTCTGCTGGGCTTTTTCAACAATAGAGTCTATGTGAATGTCCCACTTCGGTGCCCAGAAACCTGAATGACTCTACTCGAGCCACAGTACTGTTTATGATGGTGAGTGGGGGGAGTGCAGGGAGGTTTCTCCTAAAGTCCACTATCATCTCCACTGTTTTGAGCGTGTTCAGCTCCAGGTTGTTTTATCTGCACCATAAAGCCAGCTGCTCCACTTCCTGTCTGTATGCAGACTCGTCACTGTTCTGAATGAGGCCAATAACTGTAGTGTCATCTGCGAACTTAATAGCCGCATTTCCACTGTCGGGCCAGTGCGAGCCAGGGCTTTTATTGGGCTGGGCTGGACTAATCACTTGGGAGGTTGAGCAGTGAGGCCGAAATCATGTCGCGTTTCTACTGTCGGGCTAGTATCTAGCAGCGTGTCATGCAAACCCCGCCCCCAGAACGTCCCCCTAATCAAATGTCACACAACCGCCTACTTCAGCGGGAAACAGGCCGATAAAGCACACCATCGCATTGTCACGAAACCATTAAACTGAAGACAACTGAAAAAACAAATGACCCGTTACTGTACAGCAGTACATTTTATGTCTATACGCATATGCCTGTGTGTTCTTATTTATGATATTCATTTACTCGCCGACCAACTGTTGGGATCGAAATCGAGTGGTCTCGCCAGCGCAAGGAGCGCACCATCCATAATACAACACCACAGAAATTCTGCGTTAATAACTCGGTAGAAAATGTATTTTATAACATCCTCATTGAGATAGACGCAGTCAAACGTTCAGCCCAAATGCTCCGGAGAGACCCGAAACATTAATTTTTATTTATATATGACACACAATATGTGATTCCCCTTTATTTAAGGATGTTGCATATTATATCTTAAGTAAAGGAAAGTGTTAATTATTTCAGCACATAAGAGCAACAAAATAAGTTCTACTAGGGCAAAATATTGAAGTGGGTTTGCTAATTTCAGGTAAACAGCTTATATAGTAAGAGGTAGTGGTCTGTAATATCATCAGGTATTTCAGGGTATCCAGGTATTTTGGTTATGCGTTAAGCTGTGTGTCCCTGATGATCTTGGTGATCCTAAATAGTGTGTGGATCTGAGGTAGATTTGCCATTCTTTTATCTAAACTCTTTATTTCCTCGATCGCTTTCTTTTCCATGTTTTTGTTGTACGTTTGTTTGTTATATGTCAGACTAGTCAATAAATCCCATTATAATCAAGTGGATTGTATTGTTTGTCTAACAGAAAAAGTCACTTAAATGATCGAGCCGAAGTGCTACAAAGCTTTACTAAAACAAGTTTACCAAAACTTTTAAACTATTAATCTACTTTACTTTTAGTAATTATAATTCCCTGTCTAAATGAATAGATCCTTACAAAATCCGCTCAGACGAGTGGGCAAGGTGTTGTTACATTTATTTAGTCACATTAACAATTA